CTCCCTTGACACAGTTAATGGAGTTAGCAAATCATAGAAACGCTCGCGGTTGATGATCCGATGAACTTGGATTTACTTAATGAGGCTGGTATTTGGCCTGCAAGCAGTTAGTCACTACTGGAATGATCGTTGTCATTGGATGTACGAGGAAGAAAACCTCAAGACTACACCATAATGCACGTATAAAATGTGACAGAATATCCCTGCCTTTCCACCTTCATAAATAATTAAGCCCTACTCTTGGTAGTCACGTGATTTATTTATTGATATTTCGGAGCGGTCACCTCACCCGTCCAGGTTCGTTTTAATCTCCATACACTTCGCTGTTTGACATAGTCCATGGAGTCCCAAACTTGGGAGATCAGGCCGATGTGCCGGCCAAATCAGCGCCTTCATGGAAGAGCATAAATCAGCTTTTGATGAAAACGTGGACGTAAAGGACATCATAGGTTTTCTCCTGCATCACGTTTTCCAATGCACTGATGGCGAAAAGTGACACTGTGAGGATTTATGTACTGGTCTTATTAGTAAGTTGGTCTTGGTAAGTGACACATTTATCAGGCACTCCGCAAATTAAACTCATTTCTGCAGCGAAAAAAACAGTATACTACTTCTATAAATTAGGTGAGAGTGTGCAGCTTCTTTTGAATCCGCATAACAAGGAATTCAAACTCTTATGTAAAATCACTTTGCCTCACTACACCCATTTGTCTACTCTAGCTCTTTGGTTTCACTACAGTATAGTTTTGGGCGCACCTGCTGCTCACACGAACACACGAACAATCGCTTTGCGCTTCATGTGTTTGCACATGCACTGGAAGCTTTCTCAGCTACCGTCACTGGCCGTCATGTGTAGATATGAAAATGAGATACGTTGCAAGACCATGTAGAGACTTATTCCTTTCATGTCGTCAAGAGTCATCTTTTGCCTTTTGTATAAAGACATCCGGCTGGGCGATAGGCTTTCCTATTAGCAACTGTTTGCCTGATCACTATGATGTTCCGTTTGTCGGTTAGACTATAATATGAAAACAACCTCAGTGCGCATACTTAGAATCTATCGCTGATAATCCTAATTACTTTATCATGGATTGGTTGAATTAGAGTAATCGACGCTGTGTTAATTAGGAACAAAATGTTGAGGAAAACTGTGTGCTCGCAAAACTCACTCTAGTAGTATATAGGTTATACACGGCCGCTAAATAGTCATCACGAAACTAAAGTTCAGGAACAAGACATCCAGAATATTTTGGGGTTTTGCGGGATAGGTATGTTTGTTCAGAGCCACACCACTCTCGTTTTGAACAGTCGTCCTCCTGTCCTGGCGCAATTATTCATGTGAATCCACACCAAAGGGAAGCACTGGACTCGAGTTTCGCTCTTATTAGAGCTCATCAGCAGTTCATATCCAATGGCCGTGCCGGGATTTGAACCCCGTACATCTGACATGCGAGGCGAGCGTGTAACCACTACTCCACCAACGCACGTTGGACGCATTTGAATTATCACATCTGAACAGGCGAACGTGTTCACACTTGAGCGATGTGATTGGTGTGCCCGACTCATCGAACGACGACTCAGTAACTATCCTGGTTGCGACGATCGATTGACCCGCCAGTCAGGACTTCCCAGTTAGGTAGCGTGACACACGCTTGAAAACCACTGGGCAGATTTTGGTTGCAATTTTGGGGTTTTGCGAGATAGGTATGTTTGTTCATAGCCACATCACTCTCATTTGAACGGCCGTGTTCCTGTTCTGGTGTAATTATTCCGGTGAGTCGGGCACACTAATCACATCGCTCAAGTGTGAACACGTTCGCCTGTTCAGACGTGATAATTCAGATGCGTCCAACGTGCGTTGGTGGAGTAGTGGTTACACGCTCGCCTCGCATGTCAGATGTACGGGGTTCAAATCCCGGCACGGCCATTGGATATGCACTGCTGATGAGCTCTAATAAGAGCGAAACTCGAGTCCAGTGCTTCCCTTTGGTGTGGATTCACATGAATAATTGCGCCAGGACAGGAGGACGACTGTTCAAAACGAGAGTGGTGTGGCTATGAACAAACATATCCAGTATGATCTTACTGGAGGTCGTAAAAAACAAACTAAATTCCCGGCAGCAATAAGCTTTCAGCCGAACAAGAATGTAACCAACATTAGCTGCTAGTTTTATGATGGCTTATTAGATATTTCACATCCTGTCCTAATTCATGGACTGCAATAACATTCTTCCGTACTTGCCCATTTAGGTGAGTGGTTGGCCCACTTCGTGCGCAAATTCAGCACGCTCCCGCTTGCAGTGACGCGAGCACTTGAGAGCTCGGGGAAGATAGTCGTCATATTGGGACACAACATTGGACAAGATTTATTCGAACCACCTTCATACTTTATTCTTTCTATTGGTACTAAAGTTGGGTCCATTAACAGAAAGCTAGACCTCTGCAGAGCGGCGAATGTTACAAACAGCATCACCATTATTTGCGTCCTATCCAGGCTCAGTTTACCTTGCAGCTCAACATCTCTGTGGCCTAATTCAGCCCAAACCCATAAAACTAGTAATCAAGTCTGCTTCTGTTGAATTTTTGCGCTTGCCGCCCAGCCAAAACAAACGCCATGTCACGCGCCAGAAAATATCGAATCGATCACCTCAGTCTGTCTGAGTAGATAAGTACCTCAACATTTTCCAGAAGAAAAGATATCCGAATCACCTCTCAAGGCCGACTTGCTTCAGGTGGACCACGCATTGCACAGTTTCGTCAACCCAGTGTCTTTCTCAAACCTCGAGTAGAAGGTCGCATCCTGACATATCTCTGAGAAGGGAAAAGAGTTGGGGCTTACGAGGACAGTCTCTCATGCCCCAGAAGTCTGTACATCGATCACCTGATGGCGGTCGTTTGGTCACCCATAAAATCAACTTAGACTGACACAAATCTGTTCATACATATGACCGGCACTAACAGTAATCATACAATCCGCCTAAGGATTGGGAATGATTACAAATTCTGTTTTTGATTTTGGGAAAAATACGCCAGTGAAACTGTCAGAAAATTTTTGTGGAGATTCAGTCCTGTAAGTAAAGCCAATCTATGCTGAAAAGCCAAGAAGCACTGTACAGCTGCTTCATCCTTATTGAGAATCATCAGCAGTGCGCATCTCACGAAACTCCGGAGAGTCTTGGACACGTGGTCGCGTGATTGAAGGATGAGCGGCGCTATATCCTGTCTAATTAGGAGTTAATCACACTGCTGATCAGCCGCCTCTGGCCGAATGGTTTGGTGTTCAATATACTAGTCAGAAGGTCGCGGATTCGAGACTCTGCGGAGTTTCGTGAGATGCGCACTGCTGATGATTCTCAATAAGGATGAAGCAGCTGTACAGTGCTTCTTGGCTTTTCAGCATAGTCCAGATCTGCTCACACTACCAACAGTCAGAAAATTTCATCCCATTTTAGCCAAAGCCACTAGCACAATAGAAGATGCTACACACTGGTTATGACACCGGCTTTCCCTGCCCTACCACTATGTCACTATGAGTTGAGAAAAATAATCCAAATAATGTCACCATATCACCGACCGGAATGATACCACCAAGATCACAGTTGGCCAAAGTTCCTGATCACATCTCCCAACGGTTGTACACAGAAGAGTAGCAATGCCTACTATTTCATGCTACCAATGAGGTAACGCACAGCATAAGCAAAACCATTGGACTCTTTCAGCAGGTTCTTCTGAAAACCGTGGTGAAGTTTGGAAGAAATCAGGTTGTCGATCTGTTTCCCAGTAATGCGGAAAGCGATTGGAGAGGCTACGAGCACTCTCCAGCTGGAAATCATGCTGAAGCATGCTGTTTCAACAGACAGGATGAACTGAATTTGCGTGTGACACGAGCTTTGTGAATCACGCATAAGCGAATGTCTTAGTATCAAAATAGCATGTAAAACAGATAAAATGGGCAGTAGGTGAAGAACTACACTATCACTCGTTACCTCTGCGACCCCGGTTTTCAAACAGTTTATTCTTATGACATACAACATCCGTCCTTGTTTTCGGTTCTTAGTTTGGCTCAGGATTCAGTAAGAAAACAGTTATACGAACAGGAGGACAACCTCCAACGAAAAGCATACGGGTAAAGAATTGTTATACACTATACTGTCCGGTTCAAGTCTACCGAACATATGAACGTATGCTGAATAAAATGACTGGATTGAACACTTGGGGAGCTCAAGATACCCGAATAAATTGAGTTTTCATTAACCAGGTGATACTTCTCCTGTCACTTGAGTGCTTGGAAATTTAGCCATTTTCCTAGCCGTTTCCTTGTGGGTGGAATGCATTATTGTAATCTAAAGATAACTCGGTCAACAAATACACTCATTTGCGTATCAATTAGGTTCTGGCGGGAGACTCAACTGGAACTCAGATGAATCTTTCTTCTACCGTGTTTTCAGCAACTTTATAAGTAGTGAATCACGTCTAAAACTCCGTATACTTCAAGTGAAAACCCAGCGGAAAGCTGGATAAGCGAAATCAAAATAATTCCTTCACCATCCACCTGGTAATAATGGCAGACAGGTTCAACAACCTTTCTTTAGGTTTCCCCGAATTCCGCTGGGAACCAGGCTAATCTTTGGTAGGCTTACCTCGAAACTCTTATTTTTGAGGGACTTGTCAGGGCAGGTCCTTACTCGCTGTGTCATGTTTGTGATTTCCGATGATGTTGACACCTGTCATTCCCTCTCATCTTCTAGGATTACGGCTTGGTGAATGATGAGAAGCCTGATGATTGCGCTGTCACTTACTCAAATTTGGAATTCAGCATTGACTCTGGTGATTTTGTCTGAGATCATTACGCCTGTTGTGTGGTCAGCACTACAGTATTCGGTTGTATTTGCTTACAGGCTGTGGGAAATGCTCGGTGACATCACAATCATCCAATTCTCTCTTCCCTCCTACAATGCAAACGTTGTGTTTGGTCCATAGCGAGAAAAATATGGCAGATGTTGGCAGAAGAACCCTTTTGAATAATGATTACTTGTAGTACATGCGCCATAGAAGTGACGAGACTAACATCTACATTTTCAATGACGAACAAAGATGGAATTAATGTAGTTAGCTAGGGTGACATTGACCAGTTATCCCATTGTGTTGGTGATATGTGGGACTGAGTTGCTTTCACGTGAAAGTGAGCGTGCATCCGGTCAGGAGGACTGCTACGCTAGAGATGATGTTTCCAAACATCCATTCACTCGCACGGGGCACTTTATTCGGAGTTGAGAGCACCAATGAGGGTGTGGTCGACCAGTCGTAGTAGGCGATATAGGCAATGACTGCAAAGAATACTGTTAAAAGAAACAGTAAAGCATAATTTGAAGACGGTGTATTACGGTGAGGTTTAGTTCTGGTCGAACATTTCATACGTGATATCTAAGGGCATCTCACAGCTTATCCACTGAGCAAATGGAAGGCACTCTTGGAGATGACTGGAAATTACGCTACTGTAAAAAAGTACTGCTGCAGATATATGAGTAAACACGAGGGTTCTGAAACTTGATCAGATAGATCCTCAAATAGTTCTATGTAAAAAAGTTTCAAGTAGGTCAAGTTTCACCGGAGAAACAAATTTGAGTTCACAGTCTACCCGCTGCCCAGGTCTCCCTGCCGACTCGGGAGATTATATAACATGGGTTACTCCAAACAGATACTCTCAGACCTCTCATTTTCCCGAGTACATTCTATAAAGAGGCGAAACTAGGCGACCCTTGTCATTTTACCGAACAACTTCTAAGTTTGTTCTTTCCTAGTGCAAACTTTTTGTACCAACTTCCAAAAATCATCGTGCTTAATTCTCATCCCAAATATTTTTATTAATTTTAGTTGGGTTGTAGGTCAGGATATGTCTGGAACCAGCAACATGCTCTCTTTCAGACTTACTTTGACCCTTGGTTTAGTCGCATCCTTCCTTTAATCGGACGTGGCTCCCCGACGTTCCTTACTACTTTTATAGAGCACTGTCTGAGAGGTTCAACTCGTTTGGAGAACTTGTTTCATTGGTGCAAGTCATTCGTGCTCGGTAGCAAGAAACAAACGTACTTGAAGCGCCCGGTATAAAGTACACGTTCCCATGAGTACGAAACAGGGATGTTTCACAAAAATAATGCTCAGTTTAATCTAGACGTGACAATCTTTTACTAAGTGATGCTTGTACCATCATCTGGCATCTATGTACGTCTTGACCTATGTCATTCGATCTCAGTTAAGCATGAGATGTCTAATGACTATTGAAATCAAGACCACTATGTTCAGTAAAAATGAAAGAATCGGTTCAAATCAACTAATGATTCAATGGAATTGATATAGTATTACTGGTATAGATGTCACTTACGTGCTGCTCCTCCAGCAATGAGAACAATGACGTTAAGACATTTGTCACAGCTACAGCAAAGCGTTATCAGAATGAAAACGAACGTTCCGGTAAGAATAGACAGTGCAATAACGGTGCAGGACAGCGCTGTCTTATCACTGGAGGTTGTCACTTCTGTAAAGCAAACAAAGTTAAGGCATACGGAATCTCTCAAACCTCCTTGGAATTATTATTTGATCGTCTTCATACAGGAGTAAACGCGTAATCACTCACCTTTTATTGCATTACCCCAAGTCCCAATTACTCCGAGGGAGCAGGTTATGCCGACTGCCAACGCGATCAGTGATAGGGTCTTTTCAAAGAATCCCATTTTTTCACAAGTATATGAATTGGAGAATGAACTACCTACAAACTTCCTCGCCTTTATATCCGATAGTCACTTTTCCTTAATCTATAATCCTTGTCTGTATGTGTGTAATGATTGATTGACATCCAACAAAAAACAACGCAACTCCTAAGTGGTTTTGTGAAACGGCAGACCAAGGATAATTTATAAAGTGATGCAGGAGGGCTTTTTAACAGTAACATAGCACCATCACAATGGACGTACTTTCTAATCACGGCATACAAATACATAGATTGTTTGCCAAAATGCATGACGTTTTAAAGGGCACGTGATTTCGTTTTACCATACGAAACGTAAAGAATTAGGCTACAAGCATTTCTGTGATATTTGTTGACAGTACACAATGGCACAAATACACTCTAGGAATGATCGTGGATCCCAGCTCTACGTTTCATCATGGGCTTTATGGTATACTGTTTTCGGAATTTGGTTGGAGATTTTGTAATGCGACAAAACCTTTCTAAACATTTGCAGACTGTTCGATAGTCTATTCTTCATAGGCCGTCTCAGGATATTTTTTAGGTACACTGTTGGTTGGCTAATGCTGTCCCCGTATTCGTCAGCGACTTCATTCTCAAGGGAATCTGATTCCGCTGTCTATTTGCAAATGAATCACCCACATTTTGGTTTTAACAAATGAATATTTATGTTTTAAGTTGTCCAATTGCACGATGTTCGTCCACCAATTTTTTGTCTCTTTGGTTACAGCACCTTGGGTAATTATTAGCCAAGTACTCCAAGCCAAACACGAGACTACGAGTTCTGCTCGTACATCAGACAAGGAACACACCAAAAGTATCTGCATAATTGTCGCATAACCCTCATCAGTTCTAGAGTCAACATTTCATAAGTATTAAGAGCCCGATACCAAGGCTTCTTCAGCTGTTTTGGACACCGCTAAAACCGATCTAGATCAACGTGGATAACGGAGAAAACATGTTCAGCCAAATACGTAGAACAGTCATTCCATAATTTCACATTTTGACATTCAAACGTTAGGCAATCGCCCGAGTATGGTCATTCAAGAAACATCTCTACATGCAAAGTTCTAGAAGCCGAGTTGTGTGAATCATACCAACAGTGCATGCTACTATGAGGAACAGCCTTAGTTTAATTGTCCAGCGCTCTAATACCCCTGGGTAATCAGCCTGTAACGATACTGTATGTTGTTTAAAGCCGCATTATCTGGCTTTGTCGCCAGAATCTTTGAAGTAGTGGGTTGTTTGCGACGGAGAAGGCAGTGAGCTTCTTAGATGCAAGTGTGCTAATTTAGCTAGCTTAATGAGTCTGTATTGGACTCCGTGTGAGACACATACATTTCCAGGCAAGCACAGAATTAATTTATACGATCAATAGTCACCCACTGACAGTCAAGCAGTTACCAGTTGCCTCGTTTGGCGACCTTGGGATCTGGTGTGCAAACGTTCCGTCAACAGACGAGCACATATCTCCAGTATGTGATCGAGTTGTAATTCATCCTTTGCAGCTTTCGTTTACATCGTTTCGAAAGAGAAAGTAATGACTGCAACGTGAGTCATTCTTTGAACTTGACGGGATATGGACTGTGTTTCGTTTTGATTGTCTTTGTTCAATTCAATAGTTGCCTTCCTTTATTTCGGTTGGTCCACGTCGCCTTTCTCGTATGTTGCGTGAGTCATTCTTCCATTCCTCCCACTGGCCGATTGAACAACTTCTATTTTCGGCATCTGCTTTCCTTGGGTTTGATTAGTCAGTCTGCTATTTCTCTTGTCTGTGGCTCAAAAGTCAACTTTTGTCCATTCATTATTGTGTTGGGTTATCTGATTTTTCGATCCATCTTCCAATCGGGTGCGTGTCGTAATGGTTCGAATGTAATCCAATTTATCGGCCTCCTAGTAATATTTATTAGTTTCTCCATGTCCTCTCGTGACGTTCTGAGCGTTATGTGCTCCTATGTTCCATGCTTTAGAGAGGTTGGTGGATCGAGCTGATCTCAGTGTGCTCGCTGAGGGTTTTCTCGGTTGAGTACAACACCATCACACATTTATGTTCATTCTTTATTCTAGCTTAAGCTAGTACATGGACACTCTCAGTTGAACTTATGTCCGTCTGTGGTGACCAGTGAGAATTGGTCATAATATTTAGCTACAAGGTGGCTTCTGTGCACTCTTATCTGTCCAAAGCAATGATTCTCACCTTTTTGGATTGGATGTTGTATATATTGACGGTCCTCTGTTTGTGTGGTTTTTGTAATGTTTTCCTTTCTCCTATTACCTATGAATTCTTCCCAAAATATTCCTGATGTACTAAATTGTATTCCGGTTGACTGCTGCTTGAGTTACTGAGTTGATGGGGTTATGTCTTCTCAAGGACCTCGAGTTTAGAGTTTGCTTCATTTAGTTTGAATATTCAATTGGGTTCTTTTTTGGTCGCATATACCCTCATACAACCCTGATAGGTGTAGAGTCGACGGTATCTGATTATCCTTGTCCGTCGCAAATAAACTGGATCATACTTTTTTCAGGAGATTTATACTAAAAATGACCCACTGAGCTGTAGAAGTTATGAATGGTAGAGCTGAACCACCTCCTCGTGGTGCCGACTGGATAGCCTGGATGTCAGTCTGAGTGAGCTGAGAATTCAGCAACTCCAGACGTAGCTAACCACTCTGTTTGGTTTCAATGTGTTGGTTACTTTCGACAGTGTGAACTACAAATCATCAAGCGCCTCTGCACTTGCTTCGACCAGTACATAGGAGAGACTCGTGGGATTCACGTGTGAGGAATGTGGCAAGTGCTGCAAATCGAAAGCTGGCTCTTGATAGCCTACCATTGCGTTCACGACAACGAAAGTGTTCATACGAACATGGTTGCCCAATTGGCCTGCGCTGATTTTTCCCTCCTTTTTCCGACGAAGATTGGCCTGAGTCAACATCGCCGGCATGTACACCACACTCAACATAATGCAGACAAGCTTGGTTGAGTGAAGCATGCCGGTACCCGCTGGTCCCAACAAGAGTGACAATCGCTCTTGTGCCTGGCTAACAATTTATATCCATCTTGTGGCACGCAAACCGAGTTGTCCACGAGATTGGAGCAGTATTTCCCTGGTCGATCGGCTATCAGCATCAAAACCAGCTTACTGGTGCTTAGTTGGCAAGCACAACAGGACGAATCATCATTAGGTGGACCTAACCAAACTATCAGTCAAATGTCGGCCTACTCATCCGACGCCGATGACTATAGCGTCTGGTTTAAACAAACCGTAGATTGCGCGTCACTTTTGGAAGCCCATGCTTACAGTTCGCGTGCTAGTGTTGACCTTCTAGCATTTGCTCGAGGGTTACAGCCTGGCGTCATGGTGCTGAAGTAAGTTGTGCCGCTTCTGGACCTTCACGCCCCCAGGACATTCCCACACATCTGGAAAACTGTATCATGACGCCGTCGTCAGCGAGCCCATCGGATACCTGTCAACCGAAAGCAGATCCACCGGGTCAACTACGCCGTCGTTGAGACCCCATACCACAAAGAACGGAAAGATGCTGCGTCTACTGTGCTAGATGTGTCATGGAAAAATCTATAAGAAGGCCAATTCAACCTAACTCTGGATGCCGAGCAGTATTGAAAACAGATGCTCTCATCTCTCAGCCGGCAAATTGACGTAGTAGTGCCGTGTGATTGGAGCTTGATCGAGCCAATTACAGGAGAGAAAGTCGGCAGTACGATCCGTCATCAGGCTTGGGAATGCTCACGTCCAAGATGCTCTGCCGGTTCAATGCAAACTCGCTCCCTTGGTATTTCAGCCCACTGTTATTATCTCGGGGTTGACCCTTATTACCATAGTTTCGAAGGTCTCAAATCCGACTTCACTGGATCAACTGAGACCAATCTCTGTGTCATCCATTCTTGTCCGATGCTTCCATAAGTTGCTCGCTGATCACTGGAGTCGTAGATTGCAACTGCCCTTATTCCAGTCTGCGTTTCCACATACAGACGGTTGTTTGGAACCTACATCGCTGTTGCATGCCCTGCTTTGTCACTCTTCGGTGACTGCTTCTAACATCAGCTTGGCGTTTGCTGATATCTCGAAAGCGTTTGATTCAGTTTCGCATGACACAATCGTCAGATCTGCCGAGACGTTCGGAGCAACGTCATCTATAGTGTGATACATCGCAGTCCTGTGCGAATGCTGTAGCAGTTTCCTCCATTTCCGAAGCTCACTGTGCTAGGGGTGTGAGGTAAGAACACCCATTCTGACAAATGTTGTTCACCATCGCGATGGATTTTCGATGCAGCAACTGGGATACCAGTTCAATGACATCCGAATAGATAGTTTTGTCTTTGTTGACAAGTGGGTCGTGTGGGCAGAAATTCAGGCTCACTTTAAAGTGAAGCTTGAAGCTGTTGCGGTCAAGTTTGAAAGAGCTGGTATGAAGATAAACACCCGAAAGACAAAAGCGATGGTGCTTTGTGGACCATCGGGCGGCAGCAGTCTCAGTCGAACCATTTTGCTTCGCTAAGAAACGCATCCCTCCTCTGGGTGCGACAGAAATCATAACATATTTGGGCACCCCCTTTACTTTAAAGAAGAAAAGGGTCTTTGAAAACCGACAGCATTTGTTCAAACTGCTACATGAGGTGACGCGTGCCCAGTTGGAGCCGCATCAAATAATGGAGATCACGAGGAATTACTCGGTCCCGAGGCTGACACATTCGCTCGTGCTCAGCAAAGTCCACCGGAACACGTTAACAAGGTTGGATTACTACATCAGATAATCTATTCGTGGCTGCATACGACAACCGAAGTACACTCCGATCAGCTGCCTTCACGCCGGTAAATGACATGGGAGCCTTGTTATCCAAGTCTGGGTGAAACAGTCACGATACAGCGGAGAGCGCGTAGGGATAAGCTCTTTCAGTGCAGAGTACTACGTAATGTGGTCGACGATTCCCAATTGGGCAAGATTGTTCAGGATCGCAGCCTTCCGATCCGAGTCCATGGTGCATGTGTAAACACCAAGGAAGAACTGGTGGCTTCCTCGGTTGATAGTCTGCAAAACAGGGTTGACGTTTGCGGTTTACGACATTTGGTCTCTTCGCCTCTTTTTAATCGATGGATTGTATTTGCAGAACGGGTGTTTTCTCGGATATTTATCCACGGTGTCCAGCTCCAATGCAGCCTGCTCTGGACAAAAGTTAGAAGCATTCG